TTTTTTCAAACAAAAAAGGTTCTTAATGCTTTTTGGCTGGTTAAAGAACCTTCCTTTGAAAGATTCTTTTGAAAGATTCTTTTGAAAGATTCTTTCAAAAGCCAAAGGTGCTATTGACTATAGCTATTGCCTGATTTATGAATCCATATATTATAACACCCATTTGTCTCACTTCATTTGTGTATTCTCAGATCATGACCATTAATGGAAAGCTCACAGTGGGGCAGACTTTTTGAATATTCTTCCTTTGAATAGTTGAATAGTTTTATATGTTCTCACTGAAAGATTAGGTTGCTCTCATATTGTCGGTGTAAGATCATAAACAACAAGGACAGTTTCGCTCATGTTTACCAAGAGTCTAAACTCACCTGTATTCTCCTAGGCTAGATGTAGGTAAAGCCTTTTTTGTTTGAACTGATGTAGGTGCTCACTATCCAAGTTGAGACATGAACTGTTGTAAATGAATCATCAGAACTGTCCTAAGAACAATTTCAGTGTTTACCTGGAAAATAATCTCAATAAACATTTATCTCTGGTAGAGTGGTTATGGAGTCTCAAAGATGGCGGCAAGATGTCACATTAATCAAATCAGTGATTTGTTTGAAGTCACATGATTTGTGGTGGCAGCCAATTCAGCAAGAAAGTACAAAAGGTGACTGTTGCTCTGTCTATGTTTACCCTACGCTCTCAGAAAAAAAAGGTACTAATCTGTTGCTGGGGTGGTACCCTCAAGAGTGAATGTTCTCTACTTTTAGTTAGGGAAGATAATTGTACCATAATCCATTGCAATTATATTTTTTAGGTTATATTGACACCACACAACCGGTCTTGTCTCCAGGCTATTTATTTTGTTGTTCTAAAATGTTTTTTTTAAATATTAGGTTATGAAAAGGTACAAAAACATACCTTTCTTCTGGGAAAGACTTATATAAGATACACAGTTGGACCTTACAACTATTGTTGTTCTTTTTGAGGGTACATTTATATTGTTTGTACCTTGACAAATGAAAAATGTACCTGCACAGTACATTTTTTTCTGACAGTGTACCTTTGCATGTAAAGTGACTTGAGTCTCTTATCAGTGGAGAGGTGGAGACATATTTATATTCAGTTATTTTACTTGCTAGTAAAATAAGGGTAGAGTATAATTATCTTCTTTTCCCCAGGCCGTCCATGTTAGGAAGATGTCATTCTGATGTTTTGGAAAGTTTTTTAAAGAAATTTTCTAGAGTTGTGATCATCGTGATTAGAAAGTGTTCTACTAATCAGCCAAAACAATGTTGGTGTTTACATGTTAAAACTGTGTCCAATAGCTCTGTCTGTGTTTACCTAATGGAAGACTTTGGTTTAATCAGCCCATGTTCTACATTTGTCTTGTATGAGGTCCATTTATGAGGTCAGTGCAATTGGGTGAGCTGAAAATGTATTGGTTTTTGTAATGTCACAAAAACAATTCAAAACAGGTTATTTCTGAAAATAGTTTGTGGATGGTGAAGAGAATGGTTAATGTTGAAACTTTTACAATTAAAGTATTATTAGTATGTAGACTGTAGTACATAACTGTAGTATGTATTGTCTAGTGGAAAACTTTTGTTGGAAAATGATTTAAAAGAACTGTTATCAATTGGACTTAATATTTTAGCTTATATTAGATACTAGCTTCACATCAGTTGCTAGTGTACAGCATCCATTCTGCAGCAGAGAATGGCCAAGATAGCATGTTGACCACTTTCAAATGTGGGTGCACCGTGCCATCTTTGATCACCCTTCACTGATAAGGGTCAAAATGGCTCTTGTTGGCAAAAAGTCATTTTAATGAATTAACAGTATATATACATGAATAAATGCTGCTCCATGAAGATAAAGCTAAAGCAAGTCTTTTAAAAGCCTAAAATTAGATGTATGCATTTCGGTGCCACATTTGCATTTTGCTTTATATTTGCTACACAGCTTGTACTTGGTTCGATATTCCCCTTTCCTTCATTCTTATATAGAATATTATCTTAATACCTAGCAATAGTTCATGCATTACTATTACCAAGGGCATACTTTTGAATATGTTAACATTTTTGTCTTGTGAGGAAATCCCCATATCACTGCACCTTTGCTTATTTTAGGCTGTACCTTCCCAGAAGAGGAAGCAGTGCCAAAACTTGTGCACTGGAAAATAAACAAACGGGCTCCTGATTATGACAAAGCGAGACTGAGAAAGCATGCCACTGATAGACCTGTGAGAGTTGGCAGTCCACCAAGTAAAGCTGAGAAAGAGAGATAAAAGTCGACATGGCACCACACCTCAAATTATCATGTTAGTGGAAAAAAATGTGCCCTGTAGACATCTAAATATCTACTAGATATGAATGGCCTTAGAGCAAGTTGGATATTGTTGATCTTGTTTTAAGATGGCAATATGTTAAATCTTTGTCTTGTTCATCTGGTGTTTACCAAAATAGACATAGGAGTATGAGAAAGTGAACAGGCCCTGTCCATGATGAAATCAGGAAACTGGGGGATTTAGTAGAAGCTAACTGGAGAGCTGCCCAGTCTGAAATAACTGCGTCTCGGGGGAAGTCTATTCCTATGCTATCAGGAAAAAAAAGGGAACTGTACAGGTAGATTTTTGTTCATCAAGGTAAAAGTAGTGTAAATATACATGCGCAAAGATACAACAGTGGTCTTAAGGTCCAATTGTGCATTTTAAATACATTCTAAAGATTCTAAAGAACTCAAAAATATACAAATGGAATGAAATATGGTACAGTTATATTCTCTAACAAGGTACTGAAGTCATACTTTTTGGGGTGCCACCTGTGATCTATCTAGACAGACTGATGTCCCACCAACAATATCCATTGTTGTGTTTTGGCAAGAATTGTATTGATGTAAACAACTGCATCTTGGTGGGAGAGAGTCTTAAGCCTGTCTGTTTATCTATCTATCTATCTATCTATCTGTCTGTCTGTCTGTCTGTCTGTATACATGTCCCTTACCTTATTCAGCTGTGTTGATAAGACATCAATATAATATGTCTCACCAACACAATGGCTGTCCTTCATTTTACATCATTTGGTTGATGTAATATATTGTATTTGGTGCAACCAGTTGAAACTTTTCAGTCATATAATTTTTTTAGTGTATCCATCTATCTTTGTCTGTCTATCTATCTGTCTGTCTGTTTTCCTGGTGTTCATGTGTAAATGTAAATGTGTCCGTCAATCTCTTCCTCTTTACCTTACTGTGACACAACTGTATCATTTGAAACATCACAAGAGATCGAAGTTCATTCACTGTCCTTCTCTTCCAATTTCCAATTGATTTATGCCTGTCAACAATACGTCCCTGCATTTGTGTTGAATTCTCTGGGTAGACAGAGATATGAAGTATGTATCAATGAGTTGTACAACCTCTGCGCACACAGTTAAGCTTCAGTTTGGTAGCTAAGTGTTGACTATGGTGTGACCATACAGCTAATCTTTTTACCACACGTTCCCTCTCCAGCTCACTGATACACACACATAAACGAGCACACATATGTATATGTGTGCAGATGAATGTATATATGCCTATATAATGTTTTCACAACCTGGTGCCATCATGTGAAAGATGCACACCAATTCAGAAACCTTAGGATGTATGAACCCTTAAAAGCATGATACAGTTATGTAATTGTGTAATAAATGTAATATTTAGAAAAGGTCAAAATGTGTATGCTGTTGAGTAATGAGTAATAAAAACAGCTTTCAAAGAATCTGGTTTTAAAAATTACATTCATGAGAGAGTTAAATATGGCTTAAGGGCTTAAAAGGCGATTTGCACTTGGAGTTTGGATCTTATTCACTGACTTGAGCAAAGATATTAGTATTACTTATTGCTGTTCCCAGAAAACATTACAAAATCATTAGAAACTATATGTTATTATTACTATTATTATTGTTGTTGTTGTTGTTGTTCACTTAATTGTTACCACAGTCTTATTTTGTTTAGTCTGCATGGTCGTCTTGTGGTGTTATAATACGCTGTATTGGGGCAGATCCATCTATTACCTAAGTCTTCCACTATTGATTATGATGTCAAAAAGAATCATTATGATTTGACAAGACCTTCGTTTGCGTTAAAATGTTAATCTAAAATGATACATACAGCCGGGCACTGGCTAGTTCAGTGTCTCCTGCTCTCAGACTCAACCAAGACGTTCGATAATGGCTGCCGCGTTATTGTTCATATCCTTCATTGTGCTCCCAGCGCCATTTTGGGCTACATCTCAGCCAACGCAGCCATAAGAGCCCAGCTCAGCAAGACCAGAGCCCGTGTGAATGAACGGCCCACACAGGGCACACATTTCGCTAAATAGCTATTTTAAATGCATATAATAATAATAATAATAATAATAATAATAATAGCCAAGTAATAATCTAATGCATTTGTTATGTGTCTTATCAAAGGGGTGTTACACAGAAGCATATTCATATCGTTATTTTTTGACATGTATTCCATGTTTTACATAAGAGCTTGTAGCTTTTTATAGAGTTCAGAGAAATGCAAATTACTCCGTTGTTTGTATGGAGGATATTTGTAAGGTAAATTGTATTTGTACAATGAGAATTTGATACTTTTGTTTCTGAATTCACTTTCACCGCGTGACTGAAAATAAAATATATTTTGAAAAAAAAAAACTACTACGGCAAATAATAATAATAATAATAATAATAATAATAATAACAATCTATTATTATTATTATTATTATTATTATTATTATTTGTAGTAGTAGTGGTGGTGGTGGTACTGTAATTGTATGGCTAGTAGTAGTAGTTGCTGTGCATTATTTAATTAGTAGGTAAAATTTTGAATCAATGAAAACAGAGATATTTTCTCCAAGATGACTGATAGAATTCTATCTTCATTCATTAGAATCATTATAATAACAACAATGATAGGGTTCTTCAGTCACTCTGCAGGAGAAGGACTTGCAGTTTGACCCCTCATAAATCATTCACACATGTTCCAGCTTATAAATGTTTTATTTTCAACTATGAAAATAATGTACAATAAATAATTTGAAATTTACTATTAAAGAATCTCAATAAATAAACTAGTTCTAAAATTCATCATCATGGGGCAATGCCCGTCTCGGGAGAATTTTCCTAAAAGCAGTTCAGCTAGCCTTAAATTCTGACACATTTCCTGAGAATTCAATGATTGAGCTTCACTGAAAAGAGTCCCGCACATTTCTCTGCAAGTCAGCACGAACTAAAAGCCAGATAAACAAAAGGCAATAAAATACCTGAAACTGGACAGGGGTAGTCCCGGTGTGGATTCGCTAGAACAGAACACCGTAATACTGTCAAAAGCAATGAATTATTTCTCTCCGCTACGGCTTCGTCTCACAACTACGTTTCTGAATACAACCCAGAAGGGGATTTCTCTCTCTTTCTCTCTCTCTCTCTCTGCTGTCATTTCTTTCAGGAACGTTGTAGTCGGGAAAAAAAATTCATTCATAATACTGTGGCGGGATGCACTTGGATTGTTCTTTCTAAATTTTACAGTCAATCAAAACTGTAGATGTTGTAAATCTATGGTACAAAGAGTGCTCGTAAACAGGTCAAAATCCTCTTCGGAGAAGTCTACGGGGCTGTCCAGTGAGCTCTGCAGACTCGGCGATAAAGCGTCCGAAATCTGTAGGCAGGAGTCAGTGGAAAAGAAATTCAAATCGGCCAGTGAGTGGGCGTCCTGCGGCTCTGGGAACGTGCTGTGCTCTCGGCCCTCGCTGCCCATTGTGGCCGAGTTCTCTGTGGTGGGCGTTGGGTACGGGGGGGAGTGCACCGCTGTGTCAGGAGCAGATGCGCACTTCGGCTGCATCGCCTGACCTTCCTCGGGCGTGGGCTGGCTATTGTCAGCACTGTTCGTGTAGCAGGCGGCCGGGGGGCACGACTCGCTCTCCGACGCTGCCGCCGAACCTGAGCTGGAACCTGGACCGGACGACTCCGGTGGCTGGTTCGAGTAAGGCGAGGCTGCGTCTGCACCTTCGAGGGGCTCGAAACCGCTGGGTTCGCCCTCTGGACCGTCTCGGTGATGCGTCGTTTGCCGCTTGTGCTTCATGCGCCGATTCTGAAACCACACTTTGACCTGGCGCTCGGTTAGATCCAAAAGTGCGGCGATTTCCACCCTCCTGGGTCGACAGAGGTATTTGTTGAAGTGGAACTCCTTCTCCAGCTCAAGCAGCTGCGTGTTGGTGTAGGCAGTCCTCAGTCGCCGTGAACCGCTGCCGTTGTCCAATCCGCCTTGCACCTCTGCAAAATCAAGAAAGAAATGACTACACTGCGCCAAAACAACTCCAAAAGGCATTAAAACATCCACGTGTAGCCTATTGGTCCGCTTTTTGTGGTACAAGCGTGTAGAACTGATTGTAGAAATCCGTTGTCGGCCAGTGGAAGAGCTTTTGCGGTGCATATGCAGCAAGCTCCATATTTTGTTTTGTTCAGCTGTGTTCACATTGCATACTGACATCCAAAATGGCTACCCCAAGCCATGAGACATGGTTATGAATATATATCATTAAGACAGCGCTGACATCAACTGCGATTAAATCGTTATTCTAGAGCAAGATTTACTATCTGTATCAAAGGAGCTGCAACTTTATCAGGCAGAATAGTCATGCATTCGAATATTACGCCAAGAAATGGGGGGAGGGGTAGTAGTTACCGTATGAGGACATTGTAATCACGGATTTTTGCTGTTTGATGGAAGCGGTAATGTGCAATAACATAGTAGTTGAATGGTATTAATTAGACAACAGATTAAATATTAGTAGATCTGAACATAAAACTGCATTCCATAATATTCTTTTTGAGCAACAAATAAGCATATCAGATGCGTTGCCAAAATTGTAGCATATAAACTGCGCAATATGCTACATTTATGAGAAATGTAAATAAGCTTGGAAATTTGTAAACAAGATGAACAGCAGTCCATCATTATTCTGCTTCGGTTTGAATAGAAGGCAACTGATGCGGCCATATAGCTTGAGCAACCACAATATTAGACAGCCTTGCATTCACACAAAACGTCTTCCAAAACAAAAGAAGAAAAATCGAAAAAAGATGGTGTACAGTGAAATACTGACCTGTCGGGGACTCGAGTCCCGCTGTGGCGTAGCCAGAGGATGCTGGAGAGGGAGAGGCAGCTGCAGTGGCCGCTGCTGCTGCTGCTGTTGCTGCTCCAGGCTTGGGGCTCTTCTTTGACGATTTCTTCTCCTTCATCCATGGGAACTCGTGGGCTAGGGGACCGCCGCCCGACAGTGGAGCCGGGCCCTGCTGCTGTTGCTGCTGCTGCGTTGGTGGTGTTGCCTGCGTCCGGAGCTGGAGGCCATTGGAGGCGGTTCGCTTTTGGCTCCTCGGTCGCGCCTGGTTGCCTGTGCAAGGGCTCAGGCTGGGGATGGTGTTCTCGAAAGGAGGTGGAATTACTGTCGAGTCCTTGATTGATGAAGTTTGAAATGACTCCAGGACAGCGGGGAAAGACGTCAGGCACTCAGCAAGGGAAGGCTGGCTGTTGATGAACCCAATCTCCCTCTCAAATTCAAAATTCATCGCTTCGCCTTGGCAAGAAGGGCGACCAGCGACACCAAAATGCGCAAAAAAGTCACATCCAAAAGGCGCCGTTTTTTTGCGCTCCCGCTACGGCTGCATTTGCGGGCTTTAATAATTGTGTATATTGGTGATATTACAAGCGTATGGGGACCAGGGTCTACTAAACTGAAGACTATGGGCGAAATTGCAGCCAATTCCTGATCACATGACTGTTCTCAGCCAATCGAAATGCGGGGCCTAGTGGCAAAAAGAAAGCGTTATTTTTCTGAATTGATCAAATATTCAAGGCGATCATGGAAATTTGATGTTAGCAGGGGCTTTCATATAAAAATAAAAAAATGCTCGGTTGCCATGTGTTTGACCAGTGCTTTTCGGCGTGGGTGGTGAAGTAAGACCCTTGCTGAGACAATGGCCATGCTAATACACAGCTCGCGGTGATGTAATCCTCAGGCCTTAAGTGACTGTTAAAAGCACATGCACAATATGGTTAACTGCGTATTTTGGCGGGGATCATTAATCTTAAAAGTTTTGACAGGAGTAACAGACAAGAAAGGTAGCTGTATATGGTGTATAGCTGTATAAAATTCCCCATGCATTGTCTAAATAAATAGAGGTGTATCAGAGATTTCACGATTCGTGGTTCTATCTGTGAGACAAGGGGATTCCTCTTTCGAATGATGTCTGTGTACATGGTAGACTATTCATTTAAACCTTTCCATCTTTCTATGGACTCCTTGGGAAAATTTGGAACCTGCGTTCGCGTAAGTTTGCCGTGAAATTTTGGCTAGAATTTATTTAATTAAAAACGCATGCTAAAATATTTGCTATTACGTGCTGCTACCACCAAGCATTGCCGTCTAATACCGCATTGAGATGTAAAATATAGTTCTAGTCTAAAGTGAACTTTTAGGGTGTCTAAATAGCCCGGTTTGCAGCACAGACTGCCCAAAGTTCACCAAGAGGTCGCCTTCAAACATGTAAATCTTCGCCTGTGTTCAACCCTTGCGTTAAAATACGAAACATTTGAAATATTTTTTTTTTATTGTTGCTACTGCAGACTCATAGAAGAAAACAATAAGGAACGGGTAGCTGATGAAATAGAGAACGGCGATGTTTTAAGAAAGCTGAAAGCGAATAGGATATGGGTTAGATATTTTTAGAAACTAAGTAGTGAAGTAGCAGCGGTGATCAATCTTTTCTCCGGCAAAGCGCCTGACAGGAACCACCCTCAAGAATTCGCTTCTACCCTCCAGGATCACAACAAAGAAAACCCCCTTTATTCCAACAGTCTTGAGATTTTCTCAAAATTGCATCTTCTTCACGCAAAGATGTTAGTTTCATTACCTAATATGACGCATAGAAATAGCGAGGAAGCAAAACCAGGAATGCATCACGGTCCTGAATGGATGCTCAGATGGCTGCTCATCTCTGCAATTTTTCGCACTAGCTCGTCGTTTCGCCATTTTCTTGTTTGGAAGAAGCGCAGAAAACGATAAAATGTGTGTGGGTGTTTGGGTATTAAAAGGGTATACAAAGCGAGCTGGGGGAAGTGGACATTCGAATAAGAGGAGGTCAATTCAAGAGGCCCACTTCCAGAATGGAGTTACTGCGGGTTACTGGGACACATCGATCTCTCTGTCCAGTTTTATTTTAACCAGGAAAAAGAAGCGCCGATTTATCCGTATCCGAATTTTCTCTACGAAAAGGATTTTCCTGTCATCTGCGGACAATATTTTTAAAGGTTTTAATTTCGTCTCGGCCTTGCCTATCTATCTATCTATCTACCTATCTATCTATCTATCTATCTATCTATCGATTTTCGGACGTCAATAAGCAGAATTTTGACAAAAAAAATTAAAAAAGGAAAAATGTACTAATATATGACTTTCTGATGATGAATACATTGTCTGTGCATGTTTAAATAGTCGTTTTGTTAGTCTGCGTTGTAATGCTGGTTTATTTTCCGTGTTATGTTATGAATTTTTAAAGTTACTCTGACCGTGTCTTGAAATGCTGTTTAATTTAAAACCCTGGCATGAGCTTTTACTTTGCGCCAGGAAATTAATGCGGTTTGTTAACTTATTGTAAGCGATTGATCTATATGGTCACCAAGTATGCTCGACGTTTTGTTGCAGTGTTTTATTTGTAGATTAAACCAGTGTGGCTTACTTGTACATTTTGACACTGATCTTACTGTTAGACACAACAGCGTTTTCGTGTTTTGAGTCTATTGTGTTTCATTCCCCCTAAAAAATCAAACCACAACCCTGATTCAAAGAAACGTATTAAATAAACAAGACGCGGATAATTTTGGTCGAGTCTTTGTTTTCTGTTTTCTTTTTTTTATTTTATTATTATTTTTTTTTAATGTTACTGCCTTCCAGAACTGTGGACTTAGTAAGTTATGCTTTACAGAGGGAACTGTTTCTTTCTAGTAAACTGAGAGTAAGGGCCTGGGCTGACCTCGCCTCACGTGACCACCGATTTGCAGGCGCGGCCTTGAGGGCTCTTTCAGAAGCCATGAAGAGAGATATACCGTGTGTGTGCGGGGGAAGGGGGGTGGGGGTGGTGAAACGTTAAAGAGACGTACGACAAGAATGGAAATGAATAACATAACATTTTATTAAAGAATTGTTCAACAGCCAACTCTTAACAAGAAAATCAAAGTAGCTACAAAGAACAAATGAAGTTTCCAAAAAAAGTTTCGCTATACTGTCTAATTTCCGACTATGCAGGAACGGTTCGATTCCGCTCTCACGCCCCCTGTACAAGTCAAATCATTGTTTATGTACAAGGGTAACATAAACCTACGTTTCTCTAAAATACAAGAACTAAAATTAGTTACAATGACAAGAACACAATGTCTTCTTTTTATAACAGGTAAATACTAAAAAAGTACACTTTCTCGATATAAATACATGGGGGATAAATAATACAAAAAGAAAGTATTTAAACTGGCTATAACAAATAAATATATATTTATGAATGTTCATTTGAACACACACCGAAAGACGCTGATTGAAGGTCTTTCGCTTCAAAATAAGATTTAATTTTTTTCCTTATCCATCAAAATGTAAACTCTAAGTGCAACAATGATGCCCAGACGAGAAAGCATTAGGCGTAAACCGAAACGTCTACACCATTGCCTGGTTTCCCGGACATGCATTTTGTTCAATTATACCCTGTTTCCACGTTAAGTCAAGACATGAGAAAGTGTGGGCCTTCCGCATTAGTGTGGGCTAATGTAAGCAAACCCAGAGAGAGAGAGAGGGGGGAAAGGAGGGGTAGTCAGGAGAAAGGAGTGGGAGGGCGAAGGAGGGGCATTAACAGTTGAGAAAGATAGGGGTGACCATGTAGGCCTATTGACTAAATTCTCAAATCTTCTTTCTTTACCCTGTACCAACGTCAAAGCAATTATCTAATTCTAGTCACTTCATGGGAGAAGGCCCTAGGTAGCATAGTTGAAAAATGGACCTCGACTGGTCAAAGCCAGAAAAGAGTGTAGACTGCTACTTTGTCTTGCCAAGAAGAGTGCGCGCATTGTTTTGTTACGCTCATGTTTTTTTTTCGGGCGCATAGACTAAAAAATAAACAAATAAACAAATGTTTAGTGAGTCGTTTAAAAAGAGGTATGTGAAAGAAGGGAAGTGAACGAAAAACAATCCAGTGGTTTCCTAACGCCAGTTTCAAGAGTACACTACCACTCCGCTCTCAAGCAGTTCTAAGTGTGAAGAACTTGGCAATATGCTGCACGAATGCTAATGGTGACGTAAAAGGGGGGGCACACGGGGTCATACAGTAAAATAATCTATTCCTTGGCGTACACTAGCCACAGTTACCCAATATTCATGAGCGCTGTCTTTAAAGGGGCCTTTTAGGGCTGTGGGCAATGGATTGATTAGGAGATGTCTTCTGAACAAACGAATGTGCTCACAGGTGAATGGAAAGACAACATCGACACCAACTGCGGTTCTAGACAAGGCAAGAAACCACTGGATCATCTTTTTCAACCCCATTGCATCGTCCCATGGGTTTATGTTTGTTTTTGATTTAGTTTTTTTTTTTTTGTTTCTTTTTTTTTTGTCCAAACCTGCTACAGATGAGTCAACTTGGGTGCTTCTTGAATTCTACCCTGAGAAGGATGGTGCGTCGACAGATCCGTGTATGTCGGGTGTGTATCGCACGGTCCGTGGTGTTGGTTGGCCGACATCTGTGTGGCACCGTTGTAGTCCATGCTGGCAGACTGGTGGTGTGGTAGGTGATTGAGGCCGTACATAGATGGCCCGGTGGCAGGCATGGCATCCACATAGTTGCCTCCCACGTACACGGGGCTACCCTGCATGTTAGGCGTCCCGTAGTTGCCACTGTTACCCTGTAGCCCGTGAGGGTCATATTCCGGTGCCGTGGTACCATACTTCTGTTGCGATGGGCAACCTTTCATTGGGTTTTGATAGGCTGTAGACATGGCATATGCGTTTTGATGAGGCTTGTTGAAAGATGGTGGCGACGGCGCGTCATAGCTGCCCATAGAGTGCATGGAGTTCATAAAACCGGCAGAGGACTGCATTGAGAGGGGCGGGCTTCCGGTCGGAGATGGCCCCCCTGAGGAGGAACCCATGCCTTTCGATTTTTGATCCTTCTTGTACTTCATGCGCCGGTTCTGAAACCAGATCTTGATCTGCCTTTCGCTAAGATTGAGAAGATTGGCCATCTCTACGCGTCGAGGCCTGCACAGGTACCGATTGAAATGGAACTCCTTCTCAAGCTCCACAAGCTGCGCGCTCGTGTAGGCTGTGCGCGCTCTCTTGGAAGCCGCAGAACCCGGAGGGCTTTTCTCGCCGCCACTGCTCTCCGCTGGGGTGGGAATGAAATAAAACATAATTACTACATGCGGCAATTGAATGCATCGTTCCCCTTAATAAAGCTGGTCACGTAAAAAAAAACCTTAGCCTCCTCATATTGGTTGTCAACATTTCATAACTGGCATTTATTAAGAGATGTGCCCCCTAACATTGACCGGGTATATGTAAATTGTGTTAGGACCAATGCCCACGGCCAAAATCGTACTGTGCAGCACGCTAGACCATATTTGCTCTCCACACATTGATTGAATTTGAATGGCTCGTTTGCCTTGTGAACCAATGTTTGGGAAGTAGTAGTGTAAATAGTGTAACAGTGAAACAGTCAACGGGGCACTGGTCTCACTGTAAGTAATATATATGAATATACTTCGTTTTTATCCGACTATTTGAATGTAAATTTTGCAGGAGCCTTATTGCCATTACTTGACCCCCGTCAAACACACAAAAGGAAAAAAATGGAAGAGTGCAATACAGGCTACGATTTTGGTACCATTAGCTATGATTGCAATCAACCATAAGCTAAATCAGTTTCAAAAGCTGTTTGTGTTTTAATCCTGGTTTAGGATAGGCCTCTTTACAGGCCAACATCTGTCCCAGGCAAACAGGAGCAGGTGGGGTTGAGGATTGGGAAGGGGCGGTTGATCGTTAAAGGGTAGGGAGGGGTTGGCACACACCGTTAGCTGAGCTTGCGCTGGGGGAGCTGTTTTTTTGCTTGGTGTTCTGACGCGATTCTTTCATCCATGGGTAGATCTGTTTGGTGACGGTCGGGTTTGGGGCAAGCGTGGACGACTTTGATGACGATTTGGTCGTACTTCCGCTTCCAGCCCCACCACTTCCGCTGCCACCTGGTTGCTGTGGGGCGCTAGAACCAGTTGGGTTCACAGGGTTTTGGGGAGGGGAAACCTGGGGAGGTGGGTGGTGCTCAGATGGCAGACTAGGCCGCATACAGCTGCCGTTGAGCTCTTTCGTCTTGGCATGTTGTGGCTGTGTGGGAGCGCTGGTGCCGAGGGACTGCAGCGAGCAGGCAGACCTCTGGTAGTCACCCTCGAGGTGCGCCGAGCTCTGGAAGGCGGCTGGCTGGGCCTCATAGCCGAAGCCGTTGGCCCCCTGGTACGAGTAACCTCCGAATAGTGTCGAGTTGTCGTAGTAGGTCGTTTTCTGCATTTCCAAAAGTCGCGTTACTGGCTACCAGGGTCCTGACGACCTTCTGGAAGAACATTGGCACCAGATGTCACGTGACGGTCTTTTTCCAACGGCCTCTTGGAAGCTGACCTGAAAGGTTATAAGAGGCACATAATAAGAGGGGCGCGAGGTAAATCCATCTTACTGCGCTGAAAGGCGCCATGACATGAATAGCACGTTCCCACAACGCGGCTTGCAGATGCTATGTCAGGCAACGCTGGACTGCGATCTCTCTCTCTCTCTCTCTCTCTCTCTCTCTATCTATCTATCTCTCTCTCTCTGAGATCTCACAAATAAGTATCACAAACAACAAAATCGCGCAGCTCTCAAAAACTGCTCCTTTGCCGATGGTGAATTGAACACCTTAACTATCTATTTATCCATTGTTTTTCATTGCTGTTTTTGTACCAAACGTCTTATTTTAGTAACCCATAAACACACATATATATATATATATATATATATATATATATATATATATATATATATATATATATATATAATAAAATATTTTCCTCTGAATTTATCTGTTTTTATTGCTAATAAAAGACTTTTCTCTTTGTTGGTGTTCTGTTGCTGAAACTAGAACTGCCCCTCAAAATTATTACGTGTGTGTCTATATATTGTTTGTATATTTATTAAATTGTTACTAACTGATAATACATTTGAATGTATTATTACAATGTTTAAAACTGCATTTCGTTCAGTCAACCTAACATGAAAGTACAGGCTAGACTGAGCAATAGACAGACATTAGCTTTTAGCATTAGCTACCAGTTTTGTAGCCTAGAATGATATTTTATATAAACTACGCTGGAAAAAAATATAGCAAATAATAATTTTCAAACAGAAATGTAAATGCTATCTAATAAAGCTTTGTTTTCTCGATTCTAAAGAAGCGTGATAGTCTAATAAATGACCTGAGCTCTACAAAATAGGTTAGCAGCTCAGACAAATCAATAAATATGCCTCATGTAGAGAGGCAATCTCCAGAGAGCTTTCTCCAGTTACACACAAATGTATTTGGTCAACATTAAAAACCTGAAAAACCGGCATTGTGTTCCATGACCAATGTGGTGAACTTAGTAGTGGACCCTGTGAGTGTGGCGTGGAAAGAGGTCCCCGGAAACCCTCGCTAGATATGATTCATGATGGTCGCTGAACCGAAATAGACAAATCTAATCCCGGAAAGAGCCCAAGACCTCCTCTCTTGGTGTTGGGGTGGTTGAAAGGACAGGGCGAGGGCAATCACTCAAACACTTACAGACACCTGGCATTCATTTACGGTTACTAGTCAAGGGAGAATCGTAAAAATATGAAGAACTGTCCTGAGATTTACAGAGGTTCTCTATTTTGCAGTAGATATAACACCAGCAAGTTAAATTTAGTATCGGCAAATGCAATGAAATAAAATCGTTCATCGTAATTTTACTCATTTAATTGTGTTATAATTGATGGTGTATTGACACGATTATAAATGCCATGCTATCGCTACTTAACGCCCTTTTAATTGCCAAAACTAGAGGCCGTGTCTACGTTAGGTTAATATAGTCACCATAAGGCCTAATTTTTTAAAAGTGATGTAGTGCACAGTGTAGCCATAGCCTATCCATTATAAACACAAAGCAGAAAATAACTTAACCCATTTGGTGAAATCCGACAGAAAGCCAGTACACTGAATGGTGTAAATTAAATGCTTGCAGAAAGACGACCAAATGTAGGCCCATTAAACCGAGTGTGAAATGAATAAATACATAAGCGCAAGACAAAATAGACTTAAAGACAATTCTTTATCAGTTGTGAGTAGCAACATCAATAAACTATGTTTAAATAAACCACGAAAAAAGCTAATAAATAGTTTTCGAAAACGAAAAGGCTGAAAAACATACAGTTGTGGTTGTCAGTAAAACGAATTTTACTAACCACAGCGAAATTGCAGAAAATATGAAGGAAATAATGTTTTCCACGTGCTGAAATGTTATACATAAAACGAATGGAGATTTGTATGTGTCTGTTTATAAAACTGAGAACCTGAGCTACAGCTTTTGGACATCAACTCTCAACACGTCACAAATGTAGCTCATTTATCTTCGAAGAGGACGGACGGAATCCTAATCATTTACTCCAAGGAATTGTTCGGGGGAGAGAGAGGGGGGAAGAGGGAGGGAGGGAAAAAAGGAGCATTATAGATATCAAATCATATCGCAGTTCCATTAAATGGAACACGTAATGTCCTGGCCCTCTTGTTACGGTAACACAATAACCAACTTTTCTGTAGATTCAACCTTAACACAATTATGGAGTCGAGAACGGACGTGGTTGGGGGAAAGAGACCATCCCGTGAAACGTCAACAAAACAACAAGGGGGAGAACATTGCTTGGGCGCCCCTTAGCTATCGGACGTGGGGATACAGAAAGAGGCTAATTTCCGAACGGGCTTAGCAAAACAACACAATTAATGATCAATATTCGTGGATTTGTATTATATGTCTAGGCTTTTAAGGGTAAACGGCGTTGCCTTAATGTTAGTTGATTTTCTCCACTGGGGCAAAGGAGGCCCAGGACGAGCAATTTCTGAATCAAACAAAAAAAGCACCAATGGACAACGTTTGTAGAGAGATAGGAAATCTGCAAATATTTCAGTCCTTCGCTTAGCTACAGCATTCGATCGCCCAAAAAATATGGCTTTCCTAATGCGCTAAAATATAACACATCCTTTGCATCAAAGGCGACAGGACAATATACAGCCCCCTGAAATGATTCTCTCTGATACGGAAGAAAAATATGCGGCTGGCGAAATGAATGCGTTAGGCTGGGGAACAATCCGGAGGGGAAGAAAGAAGGCTGCTGCGTGGAAGGAAGCTTAAAGCCTTGTGAACTCTTCTTGAACCGCGTTTGGAGTCATACGGTCATAAATCACTAGGACACACATACCGCCATTCACAAACTGATAGCCTATTTCAAAGCAGCTTACCTTAGCCTCTGACGAGCGACGTCCGAGCAGGCATCATATTTTTTCACGTTCGGCCACCGTGCAATCAATAAAGCAGCCCAGAGCTCGTCGCCGTTGCGATATTTCAGCCCGCCAGAGAGCGTCAGACGCCGGGTATCTCGAGCACGGCTGCCCCGCGCCAGAGTGCGGGCGCTCCTGGACGGATCCCCTCGGCTCGCGAAAGGGGGGGAGATGGTCTAGCATGAAAGATCTGAGGTATGCGAGGGGGACTGCAAATGGACAGGCAGCGCTGCTCCTGGCCGCCCTGTCGACTGGTACGCCCTGCTCGCTGATAACAATGGCCTCAGATTTCGCCTCCTTTCTCCCCTCTTCCCTCGCTCACGGTGCAAACCTGAACATCATAATCCGAGCAGAGCTGCTGGCTCGCCGCCGTCACATTTCCCCGTTGCATGTCGGGCCCCAGCCGTTCGCTCGCGTTATTTTCGCCCTTTTGCTCCTCTTTTGGCGGCTTATTGTATTGTCAACACAGGCCTTCCCAGGCTATTTGGAAATAACGGAGCTGGCTGTGGATGTGCCAGGCGCGAGCGTTAATCCCCATCAAACAGCGTCACCAGTGAAAAATTATGCTAATTGCAGGCGCGCAGGACAGGCTAAGGGCCTACAAGCGGACATCCTTGCAGCTTTTTTTCTTTTTTCCAGCCCACTTCTCCACTAGTTTACGTGTCAGGCTGTGCTAATGCGGTTCAGTTAGGTACGTTTAGTTCTCTCTTATTCCACTGATGCATATTAAATGACTAGGAAGTGCGTTCTCAGTGCTGGCTGTCTGTTAGCTCCAGGCATAAGCAGCGTTCAGCCTGTGTTGTTAATGTTACATCACATCTCTGCCAACACACCCAACTAGTATAACTTATGCGCAAAACATGAAAACAGGTGGGGAGGGGGCGACAGAGCGAGGGAACAGACAACAGACGGACTTGAAAGCGGGGGAGGAGTGTGAAAACAAATCACCAAATAGAAAAAAAGCGAAGATAATTTTTGATATTTAACCGCACCGACGGATCCTGATCACACTAGTTTAACTTGGCTAGCGAGCACAAGTTAAAAATACACAAGTGGGTCTCCTTGACATTTTTTTTAATTTATGCTAAGTGGGACTTTGACACAAGGCGGATTTTTTAAAAAGTAAATCAATAGGAAATAAAAGACAAAGAGAAAAAAATGGCGAAAAGGAAATGTGGAAGAAAGCCAGCGTGAGAGCAAAATGGAAACGAAAACATGAAGGTGTTTTAGAAATATTACTTTCTCTCTTCACCGCCTTTCGTCATCTCTCTCTCTCTCTCTCTCTCTCTCTCTCTCTCTCTCTCGCTCTCTCTCTCCATATTTTTATTATTCAGGACACTACCCTCGTCGTTTATGGCTACGTAAGATTTATGACTTCTACCACACACAGGCAGCTGTAAATAGGCAACTTTAAAAAGATGCTTTTCGGCTAGGTGCCTGAATAGAGAACATCACCAGCGGTGTGGGAGGAAGGCAGGAGGCAAAAATGTAGGTGTCTGCATTTTGTTACCAGCATTGTTCTTAGTTTTGCAACTATTGCTAAATGCGTGAGTAAGTGGGAACAATTTAAAAGATTACTAATTAACTAATACGTGGGTGGAAGAAAAGAAATGCAGAAAACAGTCTTTTTTTCTTTTTTCTACTTTTCTTAGCACCATGATATATTTCATACAACAAGCAATCCTGGGTGGATTACCACTGTGCACATTGGATTATTTCATGCTTTAATGCCTTTTTTTGAGTGGAAGGTGCTATAATTTATTGTAAAATTGTTTGTTTTTACAGGAAGAACAGGTCATTGGATTCTATTTGAAGTTATTTGACGATGGATACCTTTTTTGGACAAACGATGCAATTTGGAAAAAATACAGAGCACCACCGCATGAATATATATATATATATATATATATATATATATATATATATATATATATATATATATATATATATATATATAGGTCGTATTAAACATCCTCCATTTCCTCATCCTAATCTATTTGATATAATATCCACAATCCACATTTTAGTTTATTTTCATATGTATTCGGAATGCTAAAACCTTTATTTTGTAAATTTAAATACGAAAATATCTCATATTAACGAGTGACACATTCTGTGTTGAGTTTTTTAATCAGTACAATAAGAGAGTGTAATGATATCAGTCGCCTTGGGGTGAAATAATTACCCTGTTTTGCTGGTTTTGTCATCTTCAGTGTCACTGTAACATTGTAATCGCCCAGAGCAGCTGTTGTTGTTACTGTTATTGTTATGGTTGTTCTTGTTGTTCGTGTATTTACTTACAAGTGAAAAAACAGATTGGGAATGTTGTTACAACGTGTGTGCCTGTAACAAGACTTGATTGTTCACCTTTTGCTGCGCCATTATTTGTCATTTGATTCCTCGAATTCACACGGTGGGAGTGGAATGTAAAGCATGGCCAGTGTTTCAAAATTAGGGCACTCGTACTATAATCTTCCATCTAAGCCTTTTCTCAGTTTTACTCGAATGCAGTATCGTATTATTGAAATTCAGAAATTCTTCATTAGAAAAGTAAATGTCTTCGGACATATGGCAATTGCAGCTACGCCAAGGACATGCACACAAAAGATTAACATTAATTAATCGTCTCATACAGACCGAAGGGACTTGTTAATAATTGCATTGTGATTTCTTCTTGTTTTTTTCCCCTGCACGTGTTCATTTCATGTTTGGTCTTTGTTGGCAAATGTTCTTTCAGTTTCAGTTGTGCAATTAAAATGACGCTTAAAGTCAAAAATGTTGTTTCGTTATTAACATTGATTTCAATAAAATGTGGATTTTTCTCCTTTACTTCATGGGTCAGTATTATTTCGTATTGGTTATGAATACAAATCAATAATCCACATTATAGACTGTCAATGCAAAAACACAGGCTTAAGAAACAATGTCTCCTCCACAAGCACATAGTCTGCAGATATGAATTATGGTCACACAGAGCAGTTTAAAGAGAGATTGGATCACTTACCGAGATAACGTCTTTCACTTCTAGATTTTATGCAAGGATACAGCTTCCTGATAACCCGAAGGATCTAAAAGAAGAAACGCACACACACAAAAAAAGATGCGATCAAAATGGGGTCGCCAAAAATCCAATACGACCTCGTGTACACAAATCGACCTCGGAAGCAATGTAAGGGTTGGCCACCGGTGACGGATATCATCAACCTTAAATTATGTTGAGGAATACAAGAAGAAATTCGAGGCCATCGAAAATATACAACATGAATCAGCAAGTCACATATTTCTATTGATTGCAGTCATTTATGTAATGATGTGTAATATTTATTATAATTTCATTTCAAAATCTGACCTTCCACTTAATTCTACTGAAACGACTAAAAAGAAAATTTAGAAATTCAAAAACATATAAATTTAATGGCCTCTTTTTTTCTTCTGGTCACAAATGCGCACATGCATACTTGTTTTCCAATAGGATTAAATAAAATAATATATTTAAGTTCAAATAGCCAAATGAAATATCACTAATTAGTATTAAAAAAAAATAAACATTGCTGGCGCGTTATAGCTATAAAAAGTGAATAATGAACAAATTAATCTCCTTGCTTTGAGTATTTGTTTTCCATTAGTGTGGAAAAAATAATATTTTAATATGATTAGTTAGAAAAGAAAAATGTGATAAACCATTAGGGAAAACATAATAATAATAATAATAATAGTAATAATAATAATAATACTAATAATAATAATAAACGCAGCAATTCAAAAAGCACAGATAAAACACAGTGCAAAGAAACAAATACAAAATAAAACGAAAGTATCAAGCGAGGTGCGGCGACCACAGAGAAAACCATAAAACATAAGCCCCACCATTCTGGTCAAAAATCCGCCCATAAACTTGGTAAACACAGCTCTTAATCCAAACGGAAGCCTTGGAGAAGCGAAAATGGATATATACAGTAGGCGAGGGCCTGAGTAGAAATGGAATGAAATGGCCTTGCTGGTCTGCATAGTAGCGCTTATTAAAAGTGGAATAAAAACGTTGGACGCTCCCGTTCGCCGGCTCCTGACAGCTACCCCAAACACATAAATCAAAACGAGGATTCCCCCGACCTCCCCGACTCTGCGGCCTATAGCGCTATAAAGTTATTTATTGCATCCCAGCACTCACGCACGCCGTTGGCTCGCGTCCATCCCAGGCGCCCGGGCCACTTTCAAGCGCTAAACGGGCAGTTTTGGGTGTTTTTTCGTCCCCGCTAACACGCCAGCGACCCGCAGTCTTACTGGACTAACCTAAAGTTACCTACAAAGTGAAGGGTGCTCCTGCCCCCGCAAGCAGGAACGCTGCTGCGCTCAGAACAAAGGGAGGAGGCAGCTTCCAGCCAGAAGAGCTGATGAGCCAATTTTTAGTGGGGGAAATGGGGAAGAAAGAAGTCAGGGAGCAACGAATTTCTAGTCGAACCAGAACCGGACTCTACAGAAGGAAAGGCTCCAGAAATGGCTAGATTATTGCGCTAAGTGTCGAAGGCACGGAGGGAAACAACAGCGGGATGCGCATGGGTTCATTTCTGCAGGCTTTGCAACAAAGGGCTCCTGCATAATTTATCAAAATGCATATTAAGTGGATATACAGGCATTGGGGAGCTCTGATGTGTTTGTCGGGCAGAGATTTTCAATAAAAAAACAATGCAATACTCAAATCCCATAGTACACACAACACACCCTCAGCTCAACTCACATAGTAACCACTTAAACGTCCAACTTTATTGGCAAGTTCTCTCTCTCTCTCTCTCTCTCTCTCTCTCTCTCTCTCCCTCTCTCTCTGATATAGCATCAGTCCCCTGCTGTATGATCACAGGCCATACCTAACACAGTTTATCACATCTTACCGTGACTTGTATGCATGCATGCAACACTTAAATATAAGCAAATCTGGAAAAAGAATAGATGAGCGAAGCTAACATAGAGCCGCGATGTGTCTTTGATAGATTGGCGTTGGGTTTCCAGCGTGACCTTTGAATGGAGGCGCAGTAACTCACCAGATTAATGATCAATCAAGTACTCTGGAATCCCCTTGTAATGTCTTATATTTATGTATTAATCCCCGGCGTGTACGTCCACGGGCTCTCGTATGGCACTTCCTAGAAATCGGCACAATGCCGACCTCATCACATTCACATTTGCCGTTTACTTATCAGGCAGTTGTGAACAGCAGAGTTAGTGAGTTAAAGAAACCTTAAAGGCCCTGTCTACGAATCCAAAATAATGTCCTAATTCCACCGCTCACGTGACACGCATGCGCCAAATGTATGCTCTGCGAAACCTAAATCACGGTGGTATATGTATCCACAAAATATGTCTCTATGACTTTTAATCTGTTATCCACAGCTGGTATGAACTCCCGGCTTCTGTCCCCTTTTCTCCAAAAGACCCATTTTGCCTCCTTTGGTGAGCTTTCATCAAGTCCATTCGTTGGATTCCAAACCCAAACGCGAGCGGTACAAGGTTGTTTTAAGCGGAGAAAGGTTTGATATATCTTCTTTTCTGTTGCATTCTGGCGAAAGACACGGAACTTTCAACACCCCAAACTTGTGAGCGTCCAATCTTTGAACACTGAAGGGGTTTTCTGCCATTGCTGGGAGAGTGGGAGAGCAGTGGGCTTGGTTTTTGACACCCACGCTTATGGCTCTATAGTAAACATGCCTGGATTACAATTAACTCTCATTGGAGCCTCACTGACCTTCCCAAGATGTTCTTATCGATCCCTACGGAACTGCCTGTCATGAAATTCTGGAGTGGGTTAGAGGAATTTCTAGGCTAGTGCATTTTAACTTCAAAACATTTTCTCTCATAATCTGGAGCTACCTTCTGATTTTTGAATTTTTATATAGCTCGGTATGTAGTTTGTTACCAGTGACTGTAGAAAAAAAACAGCATTGTAAATATATTATCCTGGATGGTAGTCAAATCGAGTAATGAGAACTGTGATTCTGCTAGTCTGCCTGATCCTCCGCTAACAAGAGACTTTTCTTAGTTAACGCCAATCCTAAAATTCACGCCGTCAGCGTCTTTGTAGGCGAAGTTAATTTTTAAAGACCAGCAAGGCTTAGAATGGGTAATTTTTAACTTGGTCTGAATGCAGGCGCACATTGAGGACGAGTGGGGGGATCTGGGTCATCGTAGCCCCATGCCCTCTGGGTCTGAAAAGTGCCAACCTCACCAAATATGACAAACGACTCCGGAGAGCGCGACTCCAATGTGCTGGTTGCCTTAATGACACCTAGAATTATTGCACTGCATCTTTGGATTCTTGATAAAAGTAGCATCAATGTGTTAAACTAAATCGCATTTGTCGCCACTAAAGAAACCCAGCCATGTATTTCAGTCCACTTCTCTGAATACAGCTGTTGCTTACATATTAAAGTCATGTGCCATGACATAACAACAACAGTGGCCGTAGTAGGCTATAATGTAAATCTTCAAAATGTATATTGAAGGCTAAGGAGATCCTATGGATGAGCTGACACTAGAAAAGAGGATGTATATTATATTTAAGTCGCACTAAAGATGGCAGTGTAGGCTATTGTAACTTTCTCTCTGCTTCTGATGCTCTCTCAACTGTCAGTGATTTATGATAAAATCAATTAAATCATAGTCACTTACTGTTTTGTGGTTTTAACTAGACCTGTGCTTTACAAAGCGTAAACCGCTGGGTCACAAAATCCTTTCTCTGTTGAACAAACGACTCTGAGCAGCATAGAAAAGTGTAATACAGTTTAAAGAGTAGCAATAGCTGAGAAATATCTAGAATGTGTTATTAGTGGAGCACATTGAAACCAACAGTATAAAGATCAGAGTGTCAGATATTAGTGAATGTGGCACGGTGTGGCTGCTTTGCTCTATCACGTATTAAAAAGCGACTTTGGGACGTTTTGCCATCATCCTCGCTCCATCTTTGTTAATTCAAGCCAAATAGTTTGCAGTGGCTAAGATCTTAAAATAAAAAAAATGCCTACATTTAGACTTTACCTGGCAAATGATGCTTGTTAATATTCTATATTTATAAGATTGGCACATGCAGTTGTTTGTGGTTTGTGCAAAAAAAAAAAGTCTGCTTCAAATTGTTAACAATACATCGTCTATCAGATTCCTTTTATTAAAATTTCCGACTGAACGACATGGGCCTAGGAATGCGAGATTGATGGCTCTCGGTCTTCTAAGAAATAGCGAAGCGACGGAGACATCATGGCATGCACAACCTGTGAAATCATGAAATGCGCAACCTTGGAAAGCTATTAATGAACACTTCATGTGTGGGAGGCTCAAAGGCGACGCAAAAGTCATATTGTTTTATTTCTTTAAAGACCCCGTGTTTACACACCTAAGGAGCGGGAAAACTCCAAGGAGACATTAAGTTTCAATATAACCATCCACCTTGAGGCCACATTTGAATTATTAGCCGCCCCTCCGTTCACTCAGGCAGCTCGCGCCTGCTGTAAGTTTTAGGAACGCCAGTTGTTTCACACTTGGCAATCTTCGAAAACGTAATAACAACGAGAGCCCGTAGTGATCATAAGGTGTGCATTTTGGGATTCCTGTGGCGTGCATGGGGGAAGAAAAAAACAGGGGTCTAAACTGGGAGCTGCTTGAGTACGCAGTCCTTTCTTCGGGTCATAAATCACCAACACATGCGTCTTCTTTTTACACCTAACCTTCAACGTTCATTCTCGACTCTCTTGGCCAGTCTAAACACTTATCCACGCTGTGATGAGCCACTGACTTTCCTAATGAGAAAACTTTTATAGGGTGATAGAAACTTTAGCTAAGAGCTAGCTGCACGGTAGAGGTAAAGAAAGGCGTATGGAGAACGAAACGAGGCAACCTTTAGCCTTACTCAGTTACCTATTTGAAGGCATCTGTCCTCAGTTGTGTGAAAACAAAAGGTTTTCGAGCCTGGGCACACCCAGGGATGGCTCTAGCCTGGGTCACACGACGGATAATTAATGACTTGTCGGCAGAGGAGCTCAGGACACTAGGAAGAATCCAGGCATGCGGCATCAGTTGGAGCTTGCAAACCTTACCTGAGTTCCAGCATTCCTTCGACCTCTCCAACGAAGAAGTGCCCTGGCTTTTGGAATACGTGTTCAGGACGCCCATGGAACGGAGGGACAAGCCAGGGAGCGGATTTAGAGGGTCTGAGACGGCGCGGAATGACTGATTAGCTTTTGTGTCATACTAAAAGCCCTACAAATAATTTGGAAGCAAATGCGACTGTTAACATTGTGAAAATGACACAGATAGGGCCAAAGATGTTGCTAATACGCGCGCGTCCTCAAACGAACGCTCTGGAGTGCAGAGAGGATTTTTTTTAGCTCTACAGAATTCCGGACTCCAAATCTCGGCGTGTGACTCCTCAGGCGCAGCAGTCACCAGCAGGCGAAAGATTCCACCTCTACCCTCTAGCTGTCTTTCCGCCTCTCGCTGCCTGCGCGAAGCAGCGTGGATTGACACGGTGAACTAGTGAACCAGTGGACTGACAGGACACACAGGGTGGAGAAGGCATCAGGGTTCCTCTGTCCAATAGGGAACTACACGGCTCCGGGGCCAACACATGGGCCATATGGTCATTGCAACCTGGGGGCTTCAGGAAGGGCGAGCACGGCTAGTCTCACTCTGATAGCTAGTTTCTCGTGGACATTCTGAGGAAAACTAGTTTCTAATATAGACCACTAGGATGTAGTTTCTTTAGATATACTAAAATTTGAGCAGACGGTAGATGGCGAGAACCGTGGCTGTGGCTTTACTGTGTTTCTTTGATTGAGCTTTTTTTAAAGTCCTGAAAGATATTGCATAACTTGAGCAAATGTACTTGGCCTTGCTCCTTTAAAGTCTTTGTTTGCTGGGTTGTACTCTACCCACGCAGATTGGAGAAAAACACCCACACGACTCGAGCATTCTCTCTCTCTCTCTCTCTCTCTCTCTCTCTCTCTCTCTCTCTCCCACACACACACACACACACAAGCGCGAGGGAAGTTCAATTATAGCGATTTAAAAGCGTGATGATAGTGTCCGTGCTATTCTTAGACGCTGCATGAAAAAGGTGGCCGTCCTCTCCCGAACATTTCCGGCTCCGTTCTCTTATCGCTCTCCCACATGATCCTCAACCGGCTGAAAACCCTCCGCGTTGCCTCTGGATATCTTTTCTGCGGTCATTTTTCATGCGCTCTCAATCGCTGCTCTGTACAGACCGTTATAAATTAGCGCGAGGTTTGATATTGATTTATTTCTAGACGGGTAATCATTCCAGCATTATGAGGCCGGGGAAACACCTGGCCAAGCTAAAATGAGATAATACGCAAAAAGATAGTGCGTAAAACTCTTTCCAGAGGCCCATTACGTGTGCTGCCCCACTAACACACTATTATTTGTCTCTAAGCACGAGAATACTCAGTGTAAATGTTAAGAAAAAGAATGATATTTGGCCACCACTGGCAGCAATCTGTAAACGCGTACATAACGAGTATATAATTACTCCAAGTTCAAATAAAAGAGCAAAGAAACAAGATGTTATTTTACTACATTTGTCTTTGTCCGTACACCGGACAATCTGTCGGATTTGGCTGTAATATTTGTGGTGTCTTGTGTTTGTAGAGTTGAGATAATTAGCCTCTGTAAGCACACAATAATAGCCAATGAAAAAATAAATCTGTTTAACATATTTGCAGCCGTTCCACGTCCCTTTGCAAAGACTGGCATTTGTTTTTGTATTTTTGTCCTTTAAAGAAAGATACAGAAATACGTGGCTCTACTTCCAAGGTGTACTGCAGTACTATTTTCACATAGTGAGCTGGAGTTTATATATGTTCCTGTCTGCCATTCTGCCATTGTGGAAATGTATTCTAGGAGGCACATGCAGCATGAGCTAGTTTTAGTATAAAACTATACCATATTTCAAATTACGGTACAAATTAATGTTCCATTTATATTTACAGCAGCCTAAACTAACAAAGACTAAACCAGCAACCTTTTTTCTTATTTTAATGAGTACTGGACTCAAAAGAAAAATAATAAAAAAATATATTTTTTCTTTTGAGGTCGCCAGAATCTGGAGCACAATATGGCCGCCACACATGGGTGTATTGTTTCAAGAGGTGGGCTTTCTTACTAACATTGCAATGCTGTTTGATAAATAAATAAATAGCTTAACAGGTTCCTCTTTTAACACAGTCGAACACGCCTATCTGACACATATCACAAAACAGCCAAATGCATCTGTGTGAGGTGTGTTTGCTTTGCTTTTATGGCCTTAAATCTTGGCACCTAGTTGTTGTTTTTTCTAAGGCATGTTATGCTGAGAAGAACAATTAGCTATTTTATCCCTGATCAAAGTCCTTTAAAATATTAGGCATAATAGGCTGTGACCACTCTTGCTGTTACTGCTACTAATGGTAGTGTTGCTGCAGATAATAATAATAATAATAATAATAATAATGATAATGATAATGATAATAATAATAATATGGCTGTAAATCAAAGTAAATGTGTTCTGTAGGCTGGTACTGTCTGCAACTGCCCACTTACTGCATTATATGCTGTACATATACAGATATGTATAATGTGTACATAGTGTGTGTATAGTGTGTGTGTGTGTGTGTGTATACATATATATATATATATATATATATATATATATATATATATATATATATATATATATAAATATGAGTGTGTATGTGTATGCATGTCTGTATGTATATATGGCGGTTCTAAATGTTTTAAATGTCAAACTGGCTGCTATTTTGATTCCTTTACTCAACCTTCACTCGACTGTTACTGAGCACATATCAGATATGAGATGAGAAAAGTGTCCCATCTCTTCGCCCTTAAGCATCCTCCAAAATGAGCTCAGAAATTGTTTTTGACACTTCGCCCGGCAACAAGGAGCGCCGCTGGAATTATACATTTTGAAGGTGTTCACCTCATGCAGCTGTGCCCATTAATATTTGATAGCAGCCGCCGTGTTGTTCTAATTTTGCTACAAAAAGGGATTCTTCTGCCCAGACTAAAACATAAAGATTAGAAGACTATAGATACAAAAGGGCACGGGTTATAAGTATACTACTCTGTTCTTTTATTGTTATTATTATCATTATTATCATTATTATTATTATTATTGTTATTATTATTATTATTATTATTATTGCTGTTGGTTGACTTTAACCACCATCACGTTCTCCTCTGCTGTAGTTCTATGAACACTAATTATTGTGCATGTGACGCTGAATATTTTGATTTGTCTGTGTTCATGAGTAAAGATAATAATAAAACCTGTTTTTAAAATGAAAGGAAAATATTGGCTCCTTTGTTTGAAGACTTCATCCTCAGCAGCGCATGTGCACCGCACAATTATTACAATCTGAAGGAAGAACACGTCATAAACGAGGTTTACAAGGAGAGCAAACAAACCTCCCCTTCGTGTAGAAGCTAAAGAGCTACTCTGCCTCTTGCGCCATGCTAACCAGTGTGGAAGGTGTTCCTCACACTACATCTCAACAAAGCAGTAGAATCAATGGAGAAGTATTTTGAAAAGGCCGCGAATTTTCTTCCCCTCTCTCTCACTCTCTCTTTATCTTTCTGATTGCCTTGAGGGGCCAAGGCCATCTCTTTCTGTGTGCATGGATATTAGGAATGGCCGGCGTTCCTGTCCAAGCAGGAAAAAGATGTGCCAGGATATGAAGAAAAATCTCTTTTCCGTTTGATTCAGAAGCTATTGTGTGAGTGGCCTGTGGCTTGTCGAATATCGTCGCGTGGCCAGTCTTCGCCCAAGCCGGAGCAGACCACCTCTACTAAGTTCGTATTCCAATTAAGCTTTTTTAATGCTCTGACGAAGAACGGCTGCAGCCCAAGTGCGAGACCCCTGGCTATGAATTTGCAGGCGGGCGCGAGCGCTTTTATGAGATTTACATAGCGACGAGGCGTTCCCGTTTTGGCAAATTTAAACAAATCTTCCCTTAATTGGTAATCGCATATGCAGTAACTCTAGACCTGCAGCTACTTAGCCCTCATATTAGTCGCTGATCCATTGCCGTATATATCGCTCGCGATAATCAACTTTGGGGCAAAAGGGGGGAGAACGGGGGGGCAAGGCAAGAGAGCTGCACCGCGCCGTTCTGAGAGCGAAAAAGCCGGCGAGCTCAGCGCGAATCCAGGAATCTCTTCCTCATTCCAGCGTATCATCGCTCGCCCATCATTTTTTCCAAGAGGGATGATTTATCGCGAAGACGGCCATAAACAACACAACTCCCTCACAAATACACAATGGCAGCCCCGCTGCCGCTGACACACATATCACTATAAATCAAGCGAAGTAGCTGGCTGAAAAGAGGGAGAAAGACAGGGAGAGAGAGAGAGGGAGACATGCAGACGAAAGGGAGAAGGATGGGTTATGGTGACGGAGAGCAAAAGAGAAGAAAAAACAAGCCACTTTAGAAAAAAAAAAGAATATAAATATATATGTAAGTGGTCTGATATGAATGGAGTAGAATGCAATGGCATGTTGTATCACTGTTGCCAGTTGAATTCAAACGATGGAATGGGCTTTTGTGAGACACACATGCAGGATGACGAGGAATGGTGAGGATGGATATTTCCGGACGATATTTACCACAACACCGTAAAGAGCAAATAAATGCAGGGAGACGGGCAAGCCCGGACACAGTGGCGGCGGTGGTGCTCGCGTGCTTCCCCGGTTTCCGCTATACTCACAAGCTCCGAGACGGTGAGATGCTCCCCCGTCCAAATTTGTTTTATTGCAGCCTCCGTGAGGGTCTGTGCCTTCGCTTTTTTTCGCTCTGCTATAGGGCTTGTTTTTAAAAGGACAGTTGAATTTCACGTCAGACACTAGGAGACCATGTCTGCGATATTCCTGACGAATACATATCTATTCTGCAACCACTGCATTAATTATTTAATGAATCACGTGACCAGGAGGGGGATGGGGTACCTCGGCTTGCACGCTCGCGGGACCACTATGACCCAACACTGCGCAGCCATTCTCTAAGTTGCATTTCTTTTTAGGGGCTTATAAGAAGAAATTAAGTGTCAGATCGTGCAGGCATGCATTTTTCTGTTTCCTCTTTTTAAAGATAAAATGGTAAGTGAATGTGATGTGTTAAATAGTGAGATACATTCATGTGCAAACTTGAACTGTACATAACTGTCTTTCGGTGTCGCTACGCGTTTATTATCACCATGCATTTTATTCCATGCTTTTAGGTTCCTGCTTTAAATCCTTCTAATGATAAACAGTTTGGGATTTAGTCACAACATAGAGTATCATTTGAATTTGCGCATATTTGTTGTCCTCCATTTATTTGCTGTCAAAGTTACATAATATTGTAACGATACTCTGTACATGCATTAAAATAATAATAAAAATCTGTTTGCTTTTTTCTTTGAAGTAAATGTTCATGATAACAAGCTCTCTGACGAATGGCTGCTGGAATTACAGCTGATATCGCACTGCCAGTTTTCACCACTATCAGCATGCCAGCAAATTTCAAACGGCAATCAACTTTTATAGGATCATTTGTAGACAGAATTCACAACACAGTGGGCAAGCCTGAGCAGTGTTTTTGGTTAACATTAGTACAAATATCCAAAATACAAATTGATCATGAGTCTGACTGGAACAGTTCTGCGAATTAAAGACAGGTAGCACGCGGCAGAGAGAAAGAGAAAGGGGGGAATCTCTTCTGAAGACCCTGCCTTTGAGCACCAGGAAACAATAGCAGCGATCCCCTTCTGCACAGAGCTAAGACAAAACCGAAACAATAGGCATGGGGCTTAGTCAAAAGGAACGAAGTCATTCGGAGACTCTTGAAGGTCAAACAATAGCAAGACTTGCTGTGTACGTCGAGAAGTCTAGCAAAGGGAGCAGCTCACACTTCTCCTTTCACTACAGATGCAGTCAAAACAGCTCGGAGCAACGAAAAAAGCAGCACTACAAAGTGTGGCTTCCACCTTTGTTAAGAAATAAAACCACGTAATCTTTATCACACTCAATTAGCCTATACACTTTGATAAAGAAGTCAGTCGCGACGAGGATGTGCTTCATGTGCAACTGAAACCGCAGTGCAGCTCCTGCAGGAACATTTGTGCCCGTGAAAATATGTGAACAACAAGGACAATGAAAGATGCGCGAATGCCATAAACTGTAACGTCAACACTGCTGTTTATCAGATTATAGAGCATGTGAGACTGTATAGCAGTCCCGAGCAATCTAATGAAGAAACTGTACGACTCCAAAAAAAGAAAAAAACGTCGAAATAGATGTGATTTGTGGGATTACAGTTCAGTATTCTTTTGAAAGGGACCACACCCTGTACTAATAAAATAATGGGCACATTCCACTAATATAGAAAACGAAATTATTATTATTATTATTATTATTATTATTATTATTATTATTATTATTATTATTATTATTATTGGACCTAGTAAAATATCAATAAGAAAATATTGCATAACAAAAAAGATTATTCTCGAAAACCTGCCGATGAGATGTAAACAAAAAGATCTATTCAAATGGTTTGTTTAAATTCATGACTCTTTTACCTCAATGTGAAATATGTACAGGGAGTCTAAAACAACGAAAATTAAAAGGAAATGATTTTGAAATAAACAAAAAGGGGCTATAATTTTATATCAAAGAAAACTTCTAAATCAAAGAACATGCGCATGATGCGCAATAAGAGAAAAACGCCTATTTTTTAATACATAGAGATGAAAAACCTACTAAACTATCAATGATACAAAAGACAAAAAAGAGAGAAAGAGTTAGAAATAATAATAATAATAATAATAATAATAATAATAATAATAATAATAATAATATGAAGGATTTTTTTCTTTCTTTTTCATTTACAAAAACTGTGTTTTAGACATTAAAATCAGAATGTAAATCGAAGAACACGTATGTAAACAGAACATTTAGCTGAAGGCTAGGTTTATTCAGAGCGGTGGAGATTGATTTACGGCGCCGAGCATCCCTTCCTTTATTGCGGACCGTAAATCTGTCAAACGCAGTGGAACGCGCAGTGCCGTTCTGAAATATAGTGGAGCGCGCGACACCGCGGGACAGCAGCATGTTGTGGTGAATGTGCTTTTATCTAGCATTTGTTTTAACACTTTAAAATCAGCAGAAAATAAGGATCGTATTAGTCGTTTAATGTAGGCTATGGAGATTTAATGCTGGTGGCACTGATAAAACAGTGTATTGAGGTCAGGCTGTAAGTGTATTTATATTTATTTTTTATTTTTGTATCTTCTTCCTATTATTATTATTATTATTATTATTATTAGTAGTAGTAGTAGTAGTAGTAGTAGTAGTAGTATTAGTAGTATTATTTTTATTGATAGTCGACTAATAATGGCGTTTAAAAACGAGCAGTGTACGGTACTTCTGTTATGGGCATTTGTCAAAACCTTCTTATCATAATTTCATCATTCTAAGCAGTAGGTGCCAAAATATGCAAGTTGGTCGTTTCATATTGAGTCGGCCGCCACGTTTTCGGAAGCTTTGGAGTAAAGAAATAAAGCTTCTTAGAAATCCAGAATATTCCTCTTTAGTGAGCGCGCTCATTACTCTTGTCTCTCCGTGGCCATAATGGAATCTGTATCACAGCAACCATTGAGTTAGTTAAATATTAATATCAAATGAAGAGCACCCAGTTGGGAAGATACAGCAGGGTAAAAGAAATTAATGTGCGCATCGCACCGCGTCTCTCGGAATAAAGGAATATGCGTATTTACTAAATAGTTCTAGTAGCTGTGTGCGGGTAGATAGGAGGAACACTCCAGTAATATTGATGCTATGGGAGATTACTGAGGCAGCAGGGAGGACGGTTGGCGTTTTGCTGGCATTGTTAACAATGGTGCTTTGCCTTACTTAATATGTGTCTCTTTTTTAAACACACACGCGCTGGCTCGCGCGCACGCACATACACGCGCGCACACACACACAAGCTCCCGGTCCAGGAGCACAAAGCTGGCGCGCGCGGGCCATATATCTCTGTGACTACGCGGCGCTGACCTCCGCTCTGCGGCTTTTCAGAATAATAATTCAGCAATGCGCGAGGGCTATTTGTTTCGCAATTAGCGGCGTGAGCTAAAACAGGCACCACACCACCACAGCCGTGCTGCAGGGCCAAGTGACCAAGCTTTCCAACAAATCTTGGAGGGCTTTTAAAGAGGGGAGTGTGGAGAGCAGAAGAAGGCGCTGCAGAGGGAGGGGGGCTTACATGATACAATACGAGGCGTTGTCACACAAAATAGCCGTCATATTTCCGAGGTGGAAGGCCCTCGTGCTTCCTCTCTCCTTGCCTACGCCGTGCTTCCGAAATACACAGTTGTACATTCAGGGCCTGGGGAGGAACACCGAGAGGAGTGAGGCGCGAGCCGTGCTACATATGGTGAATACGTAGTCTATCCAAGGGGTCTGAAACCGAAACAAGGAAGACGTGTGGAAGAAAAGGTCTTGGCAAGGCCGCGACTCGTGTTGTTTTAAGGGCCCCGTTGGTTTACACGACTGTCTGAGGGAAGAGATAGCACGCTGCCCTCAGGTTACAGTGCCCCGACCGCGCTGTTATGACAAACTCGCCCTGGGGCTTTGCTGACCATGTAACACAGAGCACAGTCCAGCCTGCGCCGGGTCAAGGGTTTCAAAGGGTCAGTCTGTGCCTTCGCAACAGACCTAATCGGTCAGAAACAACGTGTCCCCTGGTTGAACCCACCGCAGCCCATCCTGCTGCCCACTCCAAGAATTGATTTTTTCCCCTCATCCCTCAACTTCTCCCAATACTAAGGCCTATATTTTCGCCATTTGTTCCTGTTACTTCACCACGCTTCATGCTACACGAATCCACAGAGGGATGCGAGCGCCGTAAGCCAGAACCAACGGCCTTTTCCAATGCACGGTACAGATTGATTCTCAGGGGTTAAACGCCGGTGACTGCGTATCAGAGGCAGTCGTGCTCATCTAAGCACACAGCAACATGCAACAGCATCGAAGCAATTTGCTTTGTTTGAAGCAGTGTCGTTTGTTTTAGGCAAATTGTTTCTGCTTTCGGAACATTCTGCGCCGTCCTTTTAATTCTTTTCTGACCAATAGGGCATTGAACAATTCATCCTCGAAGTCGACCGTTTTTGCACCTGCGTGCCACCCAGGCGCTTTGAAAGAGGAAAACTGCAACGTAGTGCAAAAAAAGCAATATGACTTGCAAAAGAAATAAACAGCCATAAACTACAGGCATTACCCGAGCAGCCATATGATCACCAGCAAATTGCTGAAGTGCGTTTGAAGTAAATGGAAACAGCAGTGCGTCCAATATTTGCCAACTGTTTTGTTCACATGCATATAGTAGATTGGAATTGATGCATATTAACGTGCCCCCCCCCAACCATACACACATGGGCGCGCGCGCACACGCACACGCATCTCTCTCTCTCTCTCTCTCTCTCTCTCACTCTCTCTCTCTCTCTCTCTCTCTCTCTCTCTCTCTCTCTCTCTGCTTCTTTCTTTCTCTAGCCACATCGCTTAAAAGATGCTTCTAGGTATCAAGACAACAGTTGCACCTCCATATCCAGCCTTCATCCCACGACCTAACTACAAACACACAACAGACGGCTCCCAAAAGTCAAAAGTCACCCCTTTTTCTGTCACAAACCTCCAGAAAACAAAAAACAGCAACACTACGACATTTGCGCCGATGCTACCCGACTGTGAAGACAAGGCCATAAAGCAATAAAACTCTCAAACGAAACAAAGTACTTTACCTCCATTGCTGCCATCTCTCGTCCCGTGAAGAGTTTCTCTGGTGTTACCATTTCTCTTGGATTTTAGTTCATGGGACATCTCTCACCCAAAAGTTTTCTTGTGGCATGACTTGGTGAATAGAAGATGGTAGAGAAGGGAGGGGGGTGTCTTCAAGTGTCCTCCAAGACTTCACTGCCCTCCTAGCAGAAGGTCCGTGCAGTTGTGCTGCTGAATGACAATAGAGAGAAGACTTGTTTAAAGAGAAGCCGTGATTAATGATTTTTCTGTATAATTCTCACATTTTTCTTAGGGCCTCTGTCCGCAAATAATGGCGATGAACTTTTGAAACCCTTAAAAGAAATCTGTTCGGCTCCATTCAGACCTCCGTGGCAGAAGTCTCTTTTTACCCTTAAAAATATGGCAGGGCTTTGAGTAAGAATAGAATTCCAAGGTGCACATTGTAGCAGATGCCACACGCAAATTCATTTATTTCTAAGCAGGCTTTTCTTTCAGGAACAGACGCTAGAAGCACATGCTACCAGCTCTAACAAAGGTCATTTAGACATGAAGTGTTGCTTTCTAAAGTGTAATTCCCAGTGCTTGATATGTATTTAAATCTGTAGTATATATTACATCTAGAAACATTTTATTTTGTTTATATATACTTTCAGGCTGTCCTCAAAAGTAACAAGACATTCCCAACAAAATGCCATTTATTTAATTTTATTTATTTATTTGCGCATATAAATAGACTGTACAGTGTGAGCTTATTAAATGTTTGTTTGTGGGATGCTTTCATTGGCTACATACATTTTTGCAGCTTGAAGTCTGTGACGTTTCTAATTTCAAGAGAACATTTCATAAATAAAGAGGAGAAAACAGACAAATGGCTCAGGCTGGATATGCGGCGAAAAGACCCTCTGATATCAACGAGCAAGTAATAGAAAATTTTCTAGGTGCCACGGAATGCTAGCAGACCAATTTAAGGCCATACTATTGTTTAAAGTTCAACACCGGCAAACGGAATGTTATTTTCTCCGGCTCTATATTTTCGATACCTGCTCCAGGAAAAGAAAATGAAAATTAATACAAGGGCTGCGCCATCCAAAAGAAGCCATTTGTCTTCTTGATTATCTATTTGGTTGTCAGCGTTTGAGCTATGGCACTGGCCCGCTCCTTTGTAATATAAAAAACACACAGCTCGCGCTGGCAAATACACTCGAAACTGTTGTGCAAAAATTACACTCATTAAAGCATTAAAAACCTACGAGCCGAGAAACCCTTTTCTGCCTTATTTTCGAAAAGGGATGCGCATTTTCAGGGGCCTTCTTAGCCTCGACGAGCAGCGGATTTGTGCACCGTTAAATTAAGGAGAGAGGAGACTGAACCGAGGGGTTTTGTGATTTAGAACAAGATTACAAGGCGTAATGTACCAGGATTACTCGCGGCCTGGCGATATAAATCACGTAGGAGATATGCAGTGATATTCAAGACAGGCCAGCTCCAAACGACTAACGAAAACCCGCTATAGCAGGTCCAAATTCAATTAAACATGTTTGCTTTAGCATGTATCACTTTATATTACAATTCAGGACAATCTCAGCGTCGAGGAGGTAAACCTGGCTTCAAACTCCACAAGAGGACAGGACACAAGAAGAAAGACAGATATTTTTGTGATTTATTAAATTTCTATAGCTATTTACAAATAACAAAGGTAGACAGTGGAAGGCATAAGCAGAAAGGGGGCGACATACAAATATGAACGAGGGAAAATACATTATCACTGGAAGAACTGATCTTTGGAATGTAAAATGATTTTTTATACAAGATAAAATACTAAAACATGGCACAGGTAAGAAAATGAGCAAAAGATAGAATAAAGAAACAGAAAGAAAGAAAGAAAGAAAGAAAGAAAGGCATGGCATGTGCATATGTTTATTTGACGTGAAATGCAAACAAAAACGTAGAGACGAAATAACAAGGAAAATGAAAAAAAATAAAGTGTATTCAATCATGCAACATACGCACTTTTTTCTCTATACAACCCTGGCCACACATAGATTTAAATTACATTTCAACGTACAAACAAATGCAGATATTTTTGCAGATATTTGCATTTCAATCAAATGAATTAAAAAACTTGTCACTTCATAAAACTAGATAACAAAAAACATCAACAAAAAAATTGCAACTGAGGTAATTCAAATAGTATTTAGCAGTGCTCTCTTTAAAATGCTTTGCATTGTACCGGTTTTGGTTATGGATATGCCCAGCTTCATTCAACTGTTATGACTTTCCATTGAATCTGAATAACGTCTAAATCAGTCGTTTTACTACAGAACGTCTGATTTTTCTATTCTCAGTCTGAAATGCGTTAAACAATTGAACAGAAAAAAACGTGGCGAGTTCCCGTATTTCTGAACGACAACTGGACTTCACACAATCTTTATCAGTCCCATTGGCAAATCAAAACATTAAATGTGAGATTAACGTTAGAGGAGGACAAAAATATGCAATAAGAAACTTCATATGATGAGAACAATGTCCAGCTAGTTTTCTAGGCTATAAGCCAGCAAAGAAGAGGGAGTTAGAAAATGCCTCTTGACAAAACAAGGCGACTCATTTATTAAGCACAACGCTAGACGTCGAGGTAATGGGCAGGCCTACGGTTCATCCTTTGTACCACAGAGTAAACATGACAAATGGGGCTGAGTTTGGCATGATTAAAGATGAAACACGGATCCATCTTCACCAAATCTGAAAACTATCTGCTGCCTTCTGTTGTTGTGGAGGGGGCGAGGGAGCAGGAGAAGGAGAGGGGCGCGGGACAAAAATGGGAACTGGACTGGGAGGGAGCCCATCTGTGGAAGTGTTTTGAGTTCGAGTCTTCGCCCCATTTGTGTTTAAAAGACATTTTCTTTGCTCTTTTTTGCACCTTCGCGTCACCCCACCTCGCGTTACATCCCTGTCGTTTAGGAGCGTTGAGAGGGAGATAGTATGAGACAATGTGACTAAAATCCTCACGCCTCACTCCTGAAACTGAGGTTTTCTCTTTTTTAAAAAAAATGTGCGTGTTTTTTAAGGAGTGCAGGAAAGCTATAGGCTCGGTGGAGGTCCGCCAGCTCGGTTTTGACTGCCCAACGGGCCGCCGCTTGAATTCGAGTTGGCAGAGTGGCTGGAGCGTATCTTCGTGTTGGGCAGTTTGTGGTCTTTCTTCCACTTCATACGCCGGTTCTGGAACCAGATCTTTATCTGTCGCTCGGAAAGGCAAAGGGTGTGGGCGATCTCCACCCTGCGCCTGCGAGTAAGATAGCGGTTGTAGTGAAACTCTTTCTCCAGCTCGAGAACTTGCTGGCGTGTGTAAGCTGTGCGCGAGCGCTTGGGCTCTCCCCCCGAATAGTTCGGGCTCACTGTGGGAGAAATAGAGCGACACGTTACCAAAAGTCTCACAGTAACTCACTGAAGATGTAAACATGCATAAGCAAACACATTCAGGATTTACTAGAATGTACTAACATCACATACATGCAGAGTATGCTACATGTACCTTTGGAACTTCAATATATGGTATATCTAAATATACGCACACAGATATATATAACTTCAAAAAGGCCAAGCAGGATCTGTGCAGTAAGCTACTGGACAATGAGTGACACCACGGAATGGCTGGTACAATAAAAAGCTGCAGGCATTATCATTTAAAAACACAAAGCTATTTTACGTGTACAAAATTAAATAAAAGTCCACATTAACCACATTTACCATATCGGAACAGTTTAAGGTAGTTGGCAATTAAAGTGTCATGTTTATAGCAATGACTTTACAAAAGGCTAATTTTCCTTCATTTCAACGCACCTCACGAAAGCTTTCAAGAGAAAAAAAACTTGCTAATTATTGCCGAATAATAGTAGGCTATAGGCCCTTAACAGACTTCTGTTTGCTTTCCCATTAGTATTTTATTATTATCTTCATAAATGTGAATATTTTATCTGTCATAAAACTTTTCGGAGAACAGTAGTGAAGTGACAGAGGAAAGTATATGTTTATACATCCAACCACTTAAAATCAAATTACCAAAACATAAAACGTAACTTATGGGTTACTAGAGTACTCATAAAACCTTCCCGGGAAGAAATTAGAACGAGGAGGTCGCATAGACTTCAAAGGTGCTTGGAGAAGAAGTGCAATAAAAATTTATGGAGGGTGTAATTATATTGCCCTGCAAACAGCCGATCGTAAATCTCGACCAAGGGCTACTTCACGAGGGGAGCAATAGATTTAGTACCCGGCGTTCGGCTCTAAAGCTCTAGCGCACGGCGACGCACAAGTAATGGAAGTTTAGCTGCACTTACCGATGTTTACGTGGACTTTTTTCATCCAGGGGTAAACCACGGGGTCCTTGCGCGAAGTGGCCGAAGGAGTGCTTTGGCTGATGGGAGTCTGACCGCAAGCAGGCGGAGGGCTCGGAGTGACCGAGTCGCAGTGATGGCTTGGTTCTGGCAGAGGGGTCGAGAGTGCAGCTGGGCTTAGTACATGACCCCGAGGAGACATCACCACGGCGGGCTGCCCTGGACCCTGGCACGACGAGTAGGCTGGGTCGGCGCAGCCCGACCGCTGGTGGTAGATCGACTCATGCTGGAACGATGGCTCTTGCCTCTGGGCGCTATAGTAGTCCGGAGAGTGACTGGGTAGGTAGTCGCTCTGGGAGTATTCCTCGCAGGGTGGAAACTTGGGGTCCACATAGTTCGAGTTGATCAAATAGGAACTCATGGCCATTAATTTCTTTGAATTGCACACAAAATATACTAAAATTTATATCTATCCCTTTACTCGTTTTCCTGTTTCGTAGAACCCTCCTACTTTCTGTCAAGTGAACAAAGTTAAGAGTCCATGTGACAGCGGCAGCCAATGGCGTGGATCCTCGCGATTCCCGGATAAGGAAATGCGAATGTGCAGTTTAGATTGCGCTCAGCATCAACGCATAGTTCAGAAAAGCCAAATGTTTTGTTATTTTTTATTTCTTGGCATGGACTTAATAAGCTGGTGAGATAACCACAATAATAACAAAGCGAAAGCTGACCGGCCGAAAAAGCTCTCCAGACTTTTGTGAACGCGAGGACCTCCGAGCCTAAGCGACACCCCCCCTCCCTCCATCCCTCCCTGTCCCCCTCAGCTCCTCAGTGCAATAAGAACATTTACTCTCCCCTCTAAAGCATAGTTCAAATGTTTTGAACTTGAATGCTCCTCATTATTTTGGCCAGTCCTCGTGAAAAGCGGTACCAGGGGAAAGTGATGCAAGGGGCTAGCTCCGGCCAAGCTCTTATGCGCTCGCTAATAACGGGGAAAGAATGGAGGTGGCGTGATCTGCGTGTCAGAGATGAATCTGGGCTTGTTTAGGATCGATAGAAAATTCATCAACTAATTCAGGTTACAAAGCCTCCTAAATCAAAAGCGAGACCTTTTGCATTTAAGCGCAGTCTGCAGTCACTCTCCTCCAAACGGCGCGTTTATCCTGCTCTCCCATTTACACACCACGCATAATAATTGAAATGCACATTACCATTAACATTGCTTGTGCATTGCCTTTGTCTTTTTTCTTCTTCTTCCTCTTCTTCTTCCACTGATACAAGTACTCTGAAGTCAAGTTCACTTGCATTTTGCTCCAGATTTAAGGCTGACAATAAAATTCTTTTGTGCTTCCAATGAGTCAGTCACATGGTAGTCAAAATATGGGTGACATCACAAGGTGTTTCACAGTAACCATAATAATAAGGTCGCATTTACGATGAGTAAGCACCTAACGCCACTAAAAAAGTAGAACTGTTACATTTATGGACAGACATGACTTTAATGAGAAAATCAGACCGAAAAATATACACTGCACCTTCGTCTTCCGTTGCTGTTGAAGTGTGGTCTATATATCAACTACATACTCCCCTAGATACGAATTTGTGACTGTGAGTTCTTTCACACAAATCCGGATCTACAGGGTATATATAGATGACAGTTATCCTCTTGACAGCTATTGATGGAGTTGCTCACCTTGACAGCTCCTCCTCCATGTCAAGGTGCAAACACCTGGAGCAGTCTGCCTCCAAGTGTATCAGCAATCTGTCTAGCAACGTAATGGATCGCTCCTTCGCTCGCAAACATAGCTAATGGTGACAATTCTCGATAGTTTCTTACGACGTTTTCCATTGGATAGGACAGTCAAAGAAAATAATTGTTCCAAAATATCCGATGCATCAGATGAAGCAATTTCAACAACATTTAGACGAAAGTAATATAAGCCAACATAATTTCCTCATGAAAAAAAAACTCTTTTCTATTCGAACCAAATTTTTTGTGCGAACAAAAGAGCAAGAAATAACAAGCTTAGGCCGATCAACAGATACCTTACTGGGGAATCCTAACACACCGAGCACGAGCGGGCTAGACGTCGTGTGTGAGGAGCAAGTGTGAGATTTGTGAAAAAGGGTCAAAGAAAGCAGCAACTGAAAATAAAACATGTGGGTTTTATGGCAGGTTAGCCCTGTTTACACACTACAAACAGCAGTCAAACGGGGGATGTTTCCGCAGATGAGGGGTATAAAACAATAAAATATGCACAGAAGAAAGCGCCACGTTCACACTAAACTGGAAAAAACAAGCAAACATGTTATGACTTCTTTAAGAAGTTTTCTCCTCGCACCAAACACTTCGTCCCTCATTTCGTTTTAAAACGCCTTGAATTTAAGGACTCTCAACTCAGTGCGTGGGTTCCTTTTCCCTTTTCCAAGAAGATAAAGCAAAATGAAGGGATGAAAAAGGTAAGACTGTTCTAAGATCACGATTTCACAAAACAGTGAGAGGCAGGGCAAGGTGCATATTTAAGAAAAAAGGGTAAAATCCTAAAATCGTTAAACACGAAAAAGTAATGGCAGAAACTATTATTAACTATTGTCACGAAAATAGCCAGTAAGCTCTAACAGTGAATGTATTATACAGTAAAGTGAAATTCGACACAAAAAAGATAAGCAGCCTTTTTTTGTGGTTTCACAGGTCAAGTAAAAAAATGAAACGTCATATTTAAATAACAAAATAAACTAAACCTATGAGCGGAACTGTGTACATATGTTATCAGATCCTGACAGACTATTATCTGATTCTCTGTAAGTCGTGCCAGTATATTTCAAACCAATATGTCTTTGTACAAATTATAATCATTTTGTTGCCACTACAATATAGCCGAGTTCTACTAAAAGAGTTTAAAAAGACAAGTAGATTTTTTATCATTATTTTCATAGAAATATTTCTCATATTATGCATCGATATTACAAAACGCGACTGTTTGGAAACAGTAGCTTATCCTTCTCAAAACTCAACAGACTTAATTTCTGTCAGAAATCAGCATCAAATCGACAAGTTATATTTGATTCATATTCTTATCAAATTGAAGCACTTCATAGCGGCTGTTTTTTGTGTAATATTATTTATGCCCAAATTGCTATATTTTCGTTTATAGTAAAAGTTCATTTCAGGATTACTAAAAGTATGCTGACACCTTTGTGGTGACAATAGCCTGCGCTCGAGAGCCTTTGTTCTGAGTTATTGAGCTTCCTTTGTTGACGGTTTGATGAAAAAAAGAAAAAAAATTCAAGATAAAAAAAAGAAGAACATAGCTAAATTTTGTGAAAATCTTTCGTTACTTCACATAATTAAAGCAAATAACACAAAGTCGAATTGTTTTGTGAGGAATCAAACCAATAGTAAAAGCAAATGTAATGTAACCGGAGAAATCTGCAGCACCCCTAGCGTTTGGTAATCACTGATTTGCCTTTTCTTTTTTTAAGGTGGGCCTCTTTTCCTTTTTTCATCTTTCTTTTTCTCCTCATCTGAATCTTTTCTAATTCACGTTAATTGCCATTCTGTAAAGTTATCCTCCACTCAGTGGGCTCAACAGTCACGGCCAATTTGTAAACAACAAACCAGAAAAAAAAAACTTTAATAAGAGTTGACTTGTGGTAAAACAGTGCACTTAACAGCTACAGTATATTGTAATCCACGCTGTAACAATCGAATGTTATAGCAAAAAAGGAGAAAGTTCATCCTCGCTGTCCACTCTAACCCTTTCACCCCCTGAAGTCCCCGACCTCGCCTTCACCCCCGTGAGCCATCTCCCTGTGAAAGGCATAGGGACCTCGAGCCATCTGCCTCATTATGGGGTTAATGTGTGCACCCACAGGCATTCAAAGCTCAGGCTCGGTGACTATGGCCAAGGTAAATATTCACCATATAAAAAAAACCACACGTGCAACAGTGCGACTTCGTGGGACTCAAAATCAAACTCATAACTCCGTTATGAAAGGAGGGGGGCACGCACACTCACCACAGTGCGCAAAAGGCACGTGGTCCGCCCAGGCAAAGCACCTGCAGAAGGGAGCGCGGCGATATGTAAATGAATGGCCAATTTCTTTACTTACTTTTCGCCTCCACGCGTTGCACCTCGTTTCCGCGAATTTTCTCCCCACAAGTCCTCTCGCTCGCCCTTCTCCGTGTACCGGACGCAAACGGGACCGGACACTGCCGCTACTCCGAAGCCTTTCTTTCTGTTACGAACGTACCGCGAGCCCCTCCGCCTAACCCCCCCTTTTCCTCCTTTCTCTAACGCCACAGGTTTAGCCCGTGACCTCGCCGTGATACCTTTGTATGTGCAACTCCCTCTCATTTCCGCGGTCCTTCGAGCTTCTCCCCAGCTGCTCTCGGCGACAATGGCCAGGCAGACATTAAAGCGATCCAAGACCATCTTCCAAAACAACACAAGACCTGAAGCATCGCGAGCAAAAGGAATTATGAAATAAAACATCGAGCTAGCAACTTCGAGAGCCGAAACGGGTGCTCGATCCATTCCCCAGTGTCTCTTTAACCCCTCTTGTAGGCGACAAGAAGGGGGTTTCCCTGCACAACGCAGGCTGCTGCCTCCTAAAACAGCTAAAAATAAAATGCACGTTAGCCTTGCGCCGTTGTGAACACTACAATACCATTGGACGCTTTCAGGCATTTTGTTGTGGACTCTCAAGTTTTCGTATTAATCTCGCACTTTGGCAGTCTTTGTTAAACAGTGAGGCGTGTCACAAGTCCCAGTACATTTTAATATTTGTTAGACGCGCTGACCTGCGGTTCACCCCTTCTGCGGGTCTCTCCCACTCGCAAGTTCTATAGTAATGCATGCACAGTTTGCGCGCTCATATTGAATTGTGCCCAGGTCATTACTTTGAAGAAAAATGGCTTGGGCTAGGGAGGGGGGTCATTCTAAAAGCCTTTTGAAACCCACAAATCAGTCTAACCACAGAGCATGTTTTCCACTTATTTTCTTCTTGCGCTCATAAAAATAAGAGAACATCTCAAACTTTACATACTGTACTTTGCATATACTCAGTTTTATAATATGGAAACACCTAAAGCCTTTTTTTGCTTTGCTTTATAATGAGGTAAGCTTTTCCAATCATCTTGACAACACAAAATGCAAACCATTGCTATACATATATATATATATATATATATATATATATATATATATATATATATATATATATATATATATATATACAAGATTGGAAGACACTGTGAGTTGCCAATTTAGTACATTTAGAACATAAATCAAACATTTCACATTTACACATGAAAAAAGCGGCGTGAAAAAGAAATTTAGTAAATTCTAGTCTTTTCAGGGTGTTTACAAAACAACCAGTTTCAGTCACAGTGCAAAGATCACACGTCAACATTTCATCCGTAAGATC